CTAGATGTTTTAGATCTTTTTGGATTTTATTGCTAGTACTCAGCTTCTTTAGAGGTATTTTGTTTGCAGATATCTTTTGGTTTGGAAGAGTAGCGTATGTACTTTCTATGATCTTATTTGCGATGATATCCCATAGTTTATCTATGTTTTTAGTTACATAGATTTCTTCTAGAGGTTTGTTGTTGCTTTCTATATTGAGCTCTTTAATTAACTTTTTATCTAGCTTTGTTCTATAGTTTATCTAATTCTCTTCTTCTGCTTTATCGAGTTTAAGTATTCTTTTCTTCTCTTTTGTACGTTTTTCTTTTGCTAGTGAGTTTGTTTTTTGTACTATCCCTGTATCTAGGCTTGCTAATACAAAATTGTAATTGCATCTTGTGATATACTCTGCTTCTGCTATCTCACATTTCAAGATATACTAATATAATCTGCTTGAGGCCCAGATGTAATCTATTCTTGTACTAGCTATCTTGTTCATCCATATTAACTCTTTTTTGTATGGGTATATTACTCTGAATACGTCTTTAAGGCTTGAGTTTTCTAACCATCTTAGGAGAGGAAGAGACTGTTTTCTATTTGAGGTATTGTTGTTTTGATTCAAGTCTTTGGATCTGATGTCATTGAAGTCACCTATGATGATAACTCTAATATTGTCTCTCATATAATCTCTAATCTTTCTGATTATTTGCTGTTAGATTTTCTTCTTTTCTTCTTTATCATTTAGTGGGATATATATACAAATCACTAGTAATTTATACTTTTTAAATAATATTAGTATATCGATATAGTAGTTACTATATCTTGTCACCCGTCCTATATGCTTTTACCATGTTTTACTAACTATTAAACCTACTCCAGAGCCTTTTAGTTTGTCTTCACATGCTCCAGTTCAAAATTCTATATAGTCATTCCTATTTTTGAATATAAATTTGCCTTGTTGCTCTGTGATGTTTGTTTCATTAATTCCTAATATGTCTATATAATTATCTGCTACCTATTCTGTTACTAAATCTAATTTATGACTATTAGCTTTCAGTCCATTAATATTGTGTATAACAGTTATTCTAAATTTGTAAATCAGGCTTAAATATCAATATATAGCATGTAAAATTATTACCGTACCCTATGTCTAATAATTGTAGTGCCGAATTTAGTAAACAATGAGCCCTTGTTAATTATTGTTTTGTGATGTATAAGACAATAGTATTTTTTTTACATAAATCTTTTAATTTTTGATTTTTTTTACTGATATTTCACCTTCTCATACTAGGTTGTTTTTTGTGTTGCTATAATGATTGCTAGAACTATTTGTACAGGTATACTTAGTTATGCAAAAAATTTCATTTCTATAGTTAGACAATAGAGCCTCTGACTATATATGTTGTGAGATCGAATATACTCATAATTACTATTTGGTGGCCCAGTACTTTAGTGAAAGTGATCATCTGTTCTGCAAAAATATGCTAGTTATCCTTTAATAATATAGTCTTTTTAGGTGCAGTCATAACCTTTCGAGATAGGCCTAGGATCTAACTGTTTCTTCTCTAAAATTTATTTTTTTATTCTACTCTTATAAAAATACTGCTTTGAGGATGTGATCATCAACTATTATTGTCTTGTTATAAGAAGAAAAAGACTGAACAAGCTTTCTATAGTTAGTTCACTAAACTAAAAGATAAAAAATAGTTTGAATGTATTCATCTCAAAATTTAAATAAATAGATATATCTTTTTTTTCTTTTGCCCTAGACGTGATCATCATCCTCAATGTAGGGCATATGTAAAGAGGAAGATGATTCAGACTTCCTAAACAACTGAACTATACTGCAGAGAATAATTAAATATATCTACTAGAAAAAATATATATATATAAACGTAAATAAAATTAATTTTTGATACAGGCATAGGTAGTTGTCCACTGTTTTCCTAATGCTATATCAGAGTGATATATTTTTTATATTAATATTTTTTTATCTAATTCCGATACAGATAGAAAAGTGTCAATATGAAAAAAAATCTACAAAGATATATTTCTTTCTCTTCTTTGTAAATATACATATACAATATATTGTTCAGTTTTGAATAAAAATAAATCTGATATTTATTATCATATACTTGTTACAAACCGTTATAAGTCATTGAAATTGCTATAAATCAATAAAATCAGTAAAATTGCTATGTATATATATTATCACTATACCTGCAAAATAGTTAAAACTAACTACTATAATAGTTTGAATCTTGCTGTATTACAGGCATTAATCAATCTGCAATATAGATATAGTAATAAAACGCCTAAAATATAGTATTCACGTATTCATTATCTATTTAGGATACTTCTAAAAATTAACCCAAAATACTTCTCTAAGAATGGATTTATTTATTTGACTGAAAGATCTAGAGATAGAGAATTTACAGTTAAAAAGCATTCATTTTATATTTATTGCACTGTATGTGACACTTTGGTATTTATCTGTAAAAATACTATTGAATATGCTAATCATTATCTGAATGAATATATTGCTAAAACAGCTAAAAGGCGTTTGACATATTCTAATCCTGTTCAGAAAAAAGGAGGAAGAAGTGTATCATTACTTAGTTCTAATAAGGTTAATGAGATTTTTATGAATTATTCTGTATATCTACAGCATGGTTATCATTTATATAATACAGATAATGGATTTAAAGAGAAAATTACTTATTCCTTATTTAATAGTGCAAAAATTTTCTAATAGGCTTAGAGAGATTACAAGTTGAGACCTGAAACATAGGCAAAACGAATTTGGAATATAGTAAGGAATGATAGTATTCCCGACAATAAGAAATTTTTAGATATTATTCTTCAAAAAAATAAAAAATCTTTTTACTCGTCAACAACATAATTTATATAGTGCTAAAATTATTGCTATAATAAATGAAGGATATAATTATCTATTACCAGGAGAGTATAAAGAATATTATTTTCCTGATAACTAAATAGAAAAAAAAAAAACAGCTAAATAATTGATTATATCTTGTATCATATATAGTTGCTTTTATAGAATTATATCAGCAAGGCTATAGAATCGTTAAATATTCAGAATAGACTTATATGTTAAAGTGGCTATTGAATTCTGAATATTACTGTATTATTAAATACCCCAACAATAGCAATAAAAACTTTGTTAGAATTTCAGAATATGAGTGATATATTTGTAAAATAGTAGGCAAATTATATCTATGTAATTCACTAAAAATTAACTATTTCGAAACTAAATATCTTTATATCCTAGGAAAAGAAATTAATATAGATTTCTCAGATTCAAACAATAATTGTGAGTGTGTGTGCTGAATTTTCTGGACCATGGATTCGATATCAAAATAGATATTATGTATTTATTATAATAATTTATTTTTTTATAGTTGTTCACTATCGATATGAAATACAAATCTATGAAGTATATATTTACTTATGATTTTCTCATCTATGGTCAGTAATATAATTAAGTGCTTTGGAAGTTTGTGAACAAACAAATCATTTCTCCTCAAAAATAAATTTTTTCAAAGTGAAGAGTTTTGTAAAATTTTATCTAAAAAATTTTCTGATTACTTTTTTTTTTCTATTTTCAAATTTATGAGAAAATAGAGGATC